CAGGACACTCAGGTTTGACTTCCAGCTACTCTAATACCACACTTGTTGAAAGATTTCCTGAGGTCTGCAATCTCTGTAAGTGAACCTGGGACTAGCTTTGAGCAACAAGGCACTGTACAGTGTTGAAATCATGCAAAATAGGCAGCCCCTGCCCCCACCCCCCCCCAGTTGTGTGAAATTCCCTACATTTCTTTGAATTGTAGCTTTTGGTTGAATTGTTGAATTGTGAATTGTTGAATTTTGTAGCTACAATTGTAGCTTTGAATTGTAGATACAAACTGGCATGGGGAGGGAAGGAAGCCAAACGTGGACCCAAATCCATAAGACATCCCCACAGCTCCTTAGCAAAGCAAGCGTGTGAAGCCCACGGAGCTCAGGTCAGGGTTTCAGCAGGCAATCACCTGTCAATAAGCAACTTAACTGATTTCTTCTGATTGCTGAAAGACGCTGTCCTGACTTGAAACAGTCCAGTGCATTCCTGATTCCCAGTTACTACACTAGAGTTGTTATTCCACACTAGGTTAAATAAATGAAGGTTAGAAAAATAAAGGGTAACAGCGAGCAAGGACTACACCTGGTAGCACGTCTGCAGCCGGCTATGCACACAGCCTGGAAGTCTGGATGACAAGACAGACTCACGTACAGCTCAGACAACATCATCACCTGCTTTTTGGAGGTGATCACTAGCTGGAAAATAATCCTCCTGGATTTACTGCAGGGGTGGAGAGTGCTGATACTGGACCATGGAGTCAGCCTGATGCAAGTGCTACAGGAGATCTGTTTTGCAGCACTGCCAAATGCCTGGGTGAGCAGCATTCACTGCTCCTTGCTAAGTGAGAGGAGATTATTATGAGTATGGAGCCTCTGGGAGGAGAGGACTTTGAGTGGACGGGACAGAGTCGTCAGTACTTTTGCTGGATTGACTTTAGTACGATGAAGTGCAGGTGCAGAGATACTGCGACAGCAAAAATAAATGACATGGAGAAGGCAGAATGAACATATAATGGACACTGGGGGAAACTGCTTTAATTCAGTTCCTGGCAGCCGTCACTGTGGTTCTGAAAATACTTTGCAGAACATATTGTTAGTGAACCTCCCTTCATGTTGTGGCATCCTGTCAAATTATAAACATGGACGACATCTGGTCTATGTTGGTTGCTCCAAGTCTGCTGCAGTCATGAAGGGTTGCCATAATAAACTGCTCGGACCGAAAAAAGAAAAAAGAAGAAAGAAGTAAAGTAGGCCCTATAGAGGATAAAGAACTAAACTGCTCTGGGAGCAAGCAAAGCAACCGACAGACAGGGCTTTGGAAGCAGAGAGGGGGATCTTGAAATGAGAATGCCAAGGTCAAGGAAATTCAATGCGTAGATCTGTCTAGCCAAGCGGGCTCAGAGGGAGATTTTCTTATAAGTGTATTTTTTTTTCATGCCACAAGGGGGATCATAAAACAGCCCATTGTGTTTATGGCAAATTTAAAAAATATAAGGCAGACTTCAACTGATGTTGCTATTCATGGGAAAGTTTTTTTGTCCTAATAAAACCAAGAATTACCCCTGCACCTCAGTCCTCTACCTCCCCGCACTGCTCCTAGATGAGGAAAACACTGCATTCGGCACTCAGTAGGTGAGTATGAATTGTCCCCCTCTGATCCCAACGGCTCTCTGGAGTTTCTTCAGGAATGTTTCCATCTATCCAGGCCTCAAAATCCACAATCTTTGGACTTAAAACATGTACACTGAAACACACAGGCAGGCATAGTGGCCCTACTGAGGTTAACAGAAATCTAAATTCCCAGAGACTAGAAGTCAGCTCTCGGTAGATGCTTCTGCCAACAGAAATTGAGGCTAGCGACATGTGGTTAAGGTTGGCAAAATGAAGCTTAAAATTGTTTCTGAGCTTAGCTGCTTTCTTCTAGGAACATGCCTGCTCTGCGCTGGCTTAACTCAAGAAGGGGCAGAGACACAGAGAAAAAACGACAGTCCCTCTCCTTGGGAAGGGGTGATCCTCACTCCTGAACGGGCAGTGGGAAGAGGCCCTGAGGAAATCGTGTCCAGTTTGCTGCGGTTAAAAGGATGGTTCAAGGTGGGATCAGAGAGGACTGAATTCCTTCCTTGTCTGAGAGTCCGCGTGGGTGTTGGCGTGCAACCACCTCTGTGTTCACAGCTTGGCAGAGAGGGAGAGACATGAGGCAACATTAAACCCTTAAGACCGAACAGCCCCTGGTTTGGGGCAATCCTGGCTCTAAAGCTAAATAATGCTGAAAGAGAGGCTGAAAGCTCTCAAAATGCCTCTCCGCAGAGAAAAAATTTGTCCTGCTGAGCGCAATCCTGTCTTGCAACAAGCATTTGCAAAAACCAAAGCTATGGTGTCCCTGCTGAGGGTGCAAAGCAAAGTGCAGACATGGAGCCACTCATGCCCATGAGGCCGCCTGCCCTGCGCTCATCACCCAGCACCATGCGGCCTGAGTGCTGGATCAAACACATGGCAGCAAACGTGCCCACAAAAAGAGAGAGGAATTGCCCATCTGAAAATCTTAACCCCCTCCACCTTTATAGAGCAGAGGGAAGGAGCTGCCAATGTTTACCTCCAACCCCTCTCCCCTGCAGCTTCCAACACTACAGCAGACTGACATGGCCTCCTTTTTGGTTACCCTACAGGAATCGTGTACGTCGGCTGGGCGATTTGGTAAAGAGCAGGTTAGGCTTACCGACAGATCCCACTGTTTTTCTCAGGACAGTCCCAGGATTCAGCAGAGGAAAGGCATCTGGTAGCAAATCATCGTACCACGTGGCTGTCGTCCCAGTGATCGGCAGGTTGTTTTCCAATGGTGGGCTTCGCTCCGCAGCCTCGAGCAGAAGGATCTAGACGGGGAACATGGTGAAGGCAAACAAGGTCAGCAGAATGGTCTCATACATGGTGTCAACCCTGAAGAGGTCTTGAAACTCCTCTCCTTGCCAGCAGGAGCTGTGAATAACTCTGCATCACAGACCACAGGGTTTTGGTGTTAGAGCTCTGTTGGTTTTCTGGAAAGCAGCAGTAATTAGTGTAGGAAGCTGCTGTGTGAAGTTGCAAGAGTCCCGCACACGTCCTCCTTGGAGAGGGCTTCACTGCTTCCTGAGAGACTCAGCTTCACACGGGATTGTCTCCCTGGTGAGAAACATGGAACCAGAGACGGTGTTAGGGGACACAGCATTTCACTGCTAGGTTATGTGTTCAAATCCAGAGTCATAAGGTCAGAAATTACCTTATGGTAAGGTAATTCAGGTGAAGGGCTGTACCCTGGATGCCCAGGGTAGCAAACTGAGGTGCCTCAGGCTGACAAAGTTAAAGATGATGGAGAACGTGAAGCTTTTAAAGAGCTGAAGTGATTTAATTTTGGAGTGAAGAAAAAAAAAAAAAAAAGGCAGGCAATTTCCTCAAAGAGCTCTACTTAGAAGTAATAGGATATTATTAAAACTCACAACTGTTTCTATACCTTGTAAACATACCACCTTCAAATAAATCCACGTCCCAATGTGCGTCCCTGAGCTATTTGGGCCATTTACAACCCAAGCTTCTTGGCAAAGTGACCCCGTTTTCCCTGTATGATGATTTAGACTGCTGTTCATCAAGCTGCGCTCCCCCGGCCACTGGTGGCCTATATGAAACTGGAAGTTGGTCTTTAACATGGCTGCAAAAAACCTAAATGCTCACAAGAAGTAGGGGGATGGAGGACCCAGATGGACTCTGGCCATGGACAAACTCATTAAAGCGAAGCCTGGGGAACATTCATTGCACTTTATAATCAACATTTTAAATTAAAGTTTTCATAAAACTAGGATTTTAAAAAAATAGTTCTATTTTAATCTGAATGTTTCATCCCCCTGCCTTCCCCGCCACCAAGCAAAGGTGGCATAACAAAGTCGTCTACAGATTTCTTTTGAAAAAGCCTAACCCATTGCGAGCACTGACCTGGAGTGCCAAGCCCATGTGCTCTGCTGCAAATGGGTTTTACCCTGATTGCTGGAGAGAAGCTAAAACAGAAGCCAAGGGCAGCACCCACTTTCCTGGTGGGGCAGCCAAAGCATCGGCAGCCCCCGCCATAGCCATTGGAGGCGCAGGCGCCAAACCGG